GGAGAAACTGGAGGTTGTGCTTGTTCTGCTTGTGCTTGATGTTATCGAGAAACTGGAGGAGGTGGATGTGATGGTTGCTGTTGCGGATGTGCTCGTGCTTGTTGCCGTGCTGGAGGATGTGATGGACGTTGTGCTTGTGCTTGTTCTGCTTGTGCTTGATGTTGTGGAGAAACTGGAGGTTGTGCTTGTTCTGCTTGTGCTTGATGTTATCGAGAAACTGGAGGAGGTGGATGTGATGGTTGTTGTTGCGGATGTGCTCGTGCTGTGATGGACGTTGTGTTTGTGCTTGTTCTGCTTGTGCTTGATGGTGTGGAGGAATGTAGTGTTGTGGAGAGTTCATGCACGTCGAATTAAACTGCTCAAAAAACTCAAATCGCACTGCTTGAGGAAACATTCGCAAAACATGCAAGACCATGCAGAAACTGTGCAAACGCTGTGAACTGGCAGATCCCGTGTTTAGGCCCGGCGGCCGTTGAGGAACTCTCCCTCCACTCGGCCGTAAAAGGCACTACAGTTTCACCTGAAACCTAAAAAACCTCGAGCAACTCTATACCTGAACCTAAAAGCCTCGAGCAAGCCCGAAGTCGTCCGAACGACACAGTCGACCTATGCAGGTATCCCGTCTTGTTTACTTAGCCAAGTGAAACTGCTCTGAACATGCTCACGTGTGACATTCCGAACTGGATCTGATCTCAGTAAGCCCTGCGGCGTTCAATCGGCAGTCTCCTGCAGTTCCGCCAATCAGTGGGATTGCGCAAAGAAGTTCCAATGCAAGAACGGAATAATCAGGGTGGGTCCCCCAGGATCTATGTCTATGCACATGCTGCGCCCCTTGGTGGGGATCACACCACAGCCCTCAGTGGGACTCTGTGGCGACACACACTTAGAGAGTTGCTCGCAAGAGCTCAATCGGAGTATCATGGAGAATCACCATGAAATCAAAAAGTGGAGAAATGGAGTCACAGCGCGTACAAAAGTTTCGTCAGCAGGTACACCAGGTTGATCAGACCTGGCTTCCACTATCACGCGTAGCTTCGTTGGCATGCGTTTGGGTGATAGCCGCGTGCCCCCCTGCTAATGTGATCTCAAGCGGCAATAAAATCCCTTGGAAGCAGGGTTTGACACACACACACACAGATGTGGCCGCTTCGTGGCGCTCCCTCGCACCCATGGAATCAAAACCTGAGTAGCCACCTAACAAGCCTTAGAAAGAAAAGAAAGAAAGACAGAAAAATCAAGACGAAAAGGGAAGAAAGAAAGATAGGTGCAGAGGCGTGCATGTCTGCCGCACGAGCGGCAAATTACGGGGTCAAAACCTGATTAGACACGTAACGAGGCTTAGAAAAGAAAGAGAAAGACAGAAAGAGGAAAACGAAAAAGGCAAGAGAGAAAGATAGGAGTAGCGAAAAAATGGTGACTACTTAGCGCTTGACTACTTAGCCCTTGACTGAAAGGAAATCCCTTCATTACAAACGTAAAAGCCTCTAGCGAAAAGGCAGACCTAGAAAGAAAAATGAACAGGCAAGAGAGAAAGAAACAAAACCCGAGGGGCAGGGAAATGAGCCTCAAGAACCACCTAACGAGCCTGAAAGAACACCAAAAAAACGAAGAAAGAGGAACAGAGAAGGTAGGGGGAGGGGGGAAGGGGTTTGTAACAAACTCGAAAGCGGCGCGTGCTGAAAGTGGAAGTCACGTCAGAGGTCGTGACGAAATGTGGCCTCTGTCTTCAAGCTAATATAGAGAATGTGAATCGTGACCTGAAAAATGGGACATGGACATGTGACATGACACTCAACATATGCAAAGGTGGCAGGTCTTGAACCGTAAGCTCGGCAGCGTGGTTATCCATTGGCTCGGCAGCTTTGGTATCCGTTGAGAAACAAAAGGGATCCAAAACCATAGTCCAAGAAAGCAGAAACGCTAAATTCCATATGCGATTCAAGATGGCTTCGGCGCCCCTTGCGGGGATCTCACTGCGCGCCCAGATGGTGAAGCGCAGCGAGTCACACTCAGACATAGCTTCATCCAATGCCAGAATCCACAGAGAAATGGGTGATGGAAACGCAAGGCGCTGGGTCACCTCATTTGTATCTGTTTGAAAACACTGTTTCGCGTGACTGCAGAATGCGGCGGCAGCAGGCTCTTGCGCGACAGTGGGAAACCTGTTTGTGGGGAGTATCATGGAGAATCACCATGAAATCAAAAAGTGGAGAAATGGAGTCACGGCGTGTACAAAAGTTTCGTCAGCAGGTACACCAGGTTGATCAGACCTGGCTTCCACCATCACGCATAGCTTCGTTGGCGCGCGTGTGCGTGATGGCCGCATGCCCCCTGCTGTAAATTCACAAAAGAGAAAGATCAACAACCGGAAACGACTTCAACAGAATCCCTGTGACCCCAAGGGTTTCACACGCGCCACACGCCTCCCGATTAGGGAGGCAAAAGCTTTTCCTCAAGGCCGCCAAATTCACAGGAATGCCTGTGACTCCAAGGGGGGTCACACACCCGCCTCCCGATCAGGGAGGCCTATTTTCTAAAGTGACAAACTAGTGTGCATATGTGCGCGCAGCGTGGACAAAGAGATGAAGACATGAAAAAGGAGGACGAGACGGGGCAAATGTGTATGTGTGTGTGCCGCTTGTAGTCACTGAGATTCTTTCGAATTGTTTCCGTTTTGTTTCCAGCAGAGGGCAGGAGCGCCATTGCAAGTCTCCTGCCAACGAAGACACTTGCACTTGGCGGTGAAACCAGACCTGATCAGTCTGGCGTACCTGCTGTTTTACCTGAGACACTTCATCTTGGGCCCTGCTTCTAACTAGAACAAGAAATCCAGCCTTTGCACCGGTTTGCTCTCGGCAGTCACGCATAGGGCTTTGTTTTCGATTTGCAGATGTGAGCGGACGACGTCATTCTGTCGATCGATCGTTCGATGGTTCCTTTAAGAGTTGATAGCCACGCTGAACTTGATGGACTTCTTCTTCTTCCTTTTTAGGTTTCCTTACCTGTACCCTTAGGAAATGGTACCCTAGGCCGGCGTACCTTAGCTTGGGATGCTACTAGGGGCTCCTGGCCTTCTTACTAGGTGCTAGCAACCTCTACTTTGACGCTACTAGAGGTTCCTGGCCTTACTACTACTTTGTCCGCACCTTGGCGTATCAGACCTACCGACAACTTCCGGCTCGACGCTCAGCAAAAGATGCCTCCCTTTGGGGAGGCGTGTGTGTGTGTGCCCCTTGTAGTCACAGGGATTCCGTTGAATTGTTTCTCTTTACTTCAGCAGGGGGCCACCGGGGCGCCAGAGGAGCGGTGGCCAACGAAGACCTCCTCTCGGCCCGTGTAAACGTACCTGCCAAACTGGTTACCTGTTGTTCTCGCTGTGGTTTGCTTTCATGGTGGTTCATGTGGTTCTGTCACTAATCGCTACTCGCGTTTCGGGTTTTGAGTCTTGCTGGACGTACTTGCGAATTTTAATCCTTTGGTAAAGTGCTAATGCATCTGCAGATGTGAGCGTACGTCGTCATATCGCCCTGATCGCCGCCTTCGGACTTGAGACTTGGGCCCCACATCCTCTTGAAGACCCCGAGGCTCCAGTGGTTCTTACTTGTATTCTTAGGAATTGGTACCCTAGGCCGGCGTGTGGCACCGCTGTCAAGTAAGTACGCATATCCATAAGTGTGTGTGTGTGTGGGTGTGGTTGCGATGAAGGGGAAACCAAATGTACAGGGACAAACAGTGAACCAAACCTCATCGTCAAGACTTGGGCGACCTGAAACCTGGGTTAAAAGTAGTTGCGCGCATACACGCTAAGGGCCGGACCGATGTGCGCGCAAGAGAAAGAACGGAGTGAGATGACAGGACATATGAAAAGGGAACAAATGGAGGGGCCGGAAACCGACGAGGCCAGACCTCATTAAAGCGACCTAGGTAGACCTGCCTGATTAGGAGTGTACGGCTGTGTGTGCACCTCAGGCTCCAGCAGGTCCCAATCGACCTTAAAAAAGCTTTGACCGCTCTGGTCACCTTACTTGCGCCATGCCAACATGGCGGGCTGCTTGGACCGCTATGGTCACCCAATGGCGTGCTCGAAAGCTGCCTATTCAATAATCCGGCCAGTCTTGGCAAATAACTTTGGCGTATAAGCCTCCCACGCTCGCTGCAAGCTGCTCCGTTTCCCAGCACTGGAAACATAGACAAACCTCCGTTCGACGGGGCCACTAGTCGGGTTCACCCTGGGCTCTCACTAAGGAGAGACACACTCAAGAAATTGCGAAAGTGGCCGCGCTTACGGAGAATGAACCCCAGCCCCCTCTTCTCTTTCCCCCCCCTCTAAACAGGGTAGCAGAAGGAAATGGTACTCGACACACTTGTGTGTTGGTGCCTTTCCTT